AGAGGGTCAGTGAAAAAGAGGAAGAGCCTCAACGAGATGGATTCACACAGTGGCTGTAACAATAGGCTGAAACATAGCAACGATTGTGGGGATGGCGCAGGACCCGGCAGTGGTTTGTTCTGTTGTACACAGGGTCGTTATGAGTCGAAACCAACTAGAGGGCACCTAACAGCAACAACATTGTGAATGGTAAGAACTTGGGCTTTATTCTATCCGCAGGGGAGAAGCAATGAAATAATTGTTAAAGCATGGGAGAGAGATAATAATAGTAACAGTTAACACTTATATAGTTCTTATTGTATATCAGATACTATTTTAAATGTTTATATATATTAATTTAGTTAATATAGCAACCCTATAATATATGTGGACTGTTTTGTTATTCCCATGTTTATTATTGCCATGGTGAGGAAACTGAGGCAGTGAGGTTAATAAATTGTTAAAGGCTCACAGCTAGTAAGTAGCAGAGGTGAGAGTTGAACCCAGATGGTCTAATTCCAGAGCTTTTGTTCTCACCAGCATACCATACTACCTTTTCGGTGTGCTTTTAAGAAAATAACTCTGGAGGCAATGTAGAGAATGGATTGAATAGGGAAAAGATTGGAGACAAGGAGAACCATTTGCAGTGATTCATGCAAGAGATGCTTGAGAGCTGAATCAGGTTAGTGGTCATCGCCTCAAAGTTTAGGTATAACTGGAAAACGTAAATGAACTGTAACTGGTTTGTTAGGGTGATCTATAGACTGAGGGCAGTGTCCAAGATGACCTCTCATGGCAGTTGAAAACTCAGATGATTAAAGAGGGAGCTGTTAGATAATTAATTTAGTCATAGTTCCATGTGCAAGACAGTAGGTGGTGATTGCTGTGAATTGTAGAGGGCTTATCTGGTCTAAAGAGGACAGTTGCTGTGAGGCTCCATTGGTCTTCTGCCACTTAAAAAAGTGCCCTGTGCTGTCCAATATTGTATTGTGATTTCTCAAAATGAATCTTAAATTTGAATTTTCATGCAGAATTGATTAATTTTTAAATGTTGATAATTAATTTAAAGACAAAACAAAAACCCTATATGGCTCAGTCAAAACATATCTTCTAGTTGGATTAAGTCTGTAGCTCTCAGTTGACCATCTCTGCAATGATTCTGGCTTTGGAAACTAAGAGAATACTAATGCTTGTAGAGGAGGTAGGAATAAAAGCAGGCTGGAAGATAGGTGAAGATGTGTTAAGAGTTTTGGATGTATTCTGGGGAATATCTTGGTGGGTGGACTAGAGAAACGATTAGCAGCAGACAGCATCATGAAGTATGGGGCAGAAAAATGATCTGAAGAGCACAGAACAGCATGATGAGATGGAGGGAATCCCTGCCAAAGGAAGGCAGTCACAACAATCAACATCATCATTGTTTTCATTTTATTGATGCTTACTCAGTGCCAAACACTTTATTAATACCATTACATATATTATCTTGTTTAGTTCTTAAAAATAACCCTGTGACCTAGGTATTATTAGTATTATCCCTATTTTACAGATGAGGGTAAGTCTTAAAACTAGTGCCTGAACTTGGTCTGCTTTCCTTTTGAAATAAAGAAGGAGCTTAGAGAAGTGGGCCTAGAAAATATGCAGTACCAGCCTTCTACATACTCATTTTTTTTAATTTAACTTTTTGAGATAACTGTAGATTTACATACAGTTGTAATAAATAATTCAAAGAGATGCCATGAATTTTTTTTTTTTTGAGAGTTTTTATATCGTGAATTCAATTTCCTGAATACTTATGTAGTTGTTGTTGTTAGGTGCCATTGAGTCACTTCCTATTCACAGCAACCCTGTGTACAACAGAGCAAAACACTGCCCAGTCCTGCGCCATACTCACAATCGTTGCTGTGTTTGAGCCCATTGTTGCAGCCACTGTGTCAATCCATCTCCTCGAGGGCCATTCTCTTTTTTCGCTGACCTTCTACTTTACGAAGCGTGATGTCCTTCTCCAGGGACTGGTCCCTCCTGATAACATGTCCAAAGTACATGAGATTAAGTTTCACCATCCTCTCTGCTAAGGAGCATTCTGGCTGTACTTCATCCAAGACAGATCTGTCCATGGTATGTTCAATATTCTTCGCCAACACCATAATTCAAATGCATCAATTATTCGGCCTTCCTTATTCATTGTCCAGCTTTTGCATGCATGTGAGGCGATTGAAAATACCGTGGCTTGGGTCAGGTACACCTTAGTCCTCAAAGTGACATCTTTACTTTTTAACACTTTAAAGAGGTCTTTTGCAGCAGATTTGCTCAATGCAATACAACGTTTGATTTCTTGACTGCTGTTTCCATGGGTGTTGACTGCAGATCCAAGTAAAATGAAATCCTTGACAACTTCAGTATTATCTTCGTTTCTCATGATGTTGCTCATTGGTCCAGTTGTGAGGATTTTTGTTTTCTTTATGTTGAAGCATAATCCATACTGAAGGCTATGGTCTTTGATCTTCATCAGTAAGTGCTTCAAGTCCTCTTTTGCTTCAGCAAGTTGTGTCATCTGCATAACACAGGTTGTTAATAAGTCTTTCTCCAATCCTGATGCTGTGTTCTTCTTCATATAGTCCAGTTTCTCGGATTACTTGCTCAGCATATAGATTATAGAGCTATTCAAATGATCTATCTCATATTGGGTGAGTTGTGGTAATTTGTGTATTTCAAGGAAGTGGTTCATTTTGTTTAAGTTGTAACGTTTAAGTGTATAGAGTTGTTCATAGAATTCTTTTATTTTTTGATGTCAGGAGGGTCTGTAGTGATATCCCCATTTCATTCCTAATATTGATAATTGGTCTTTCTTTTTTTCCTTGTCAGTCTTGCTAGAGCATTGTCAATTTTATTGATCTTTTCAAAGAACCACCTTGTTGTTTCATTGATTTTCCTCAATTTTTTTTCAATTTCATCAGTTTCTGCTCTTTATTTTTTTTTTAAGTTGTATGTTAGATGAAGGTTTACCAAGCAAATTAGTTTCTCATTAAACACTTAGTACACATACTGTTTTGTGTCATTGGTTGCTACCCCACGACATGTCAACACTCTCCCCTTCTCAACCTTGGGTTCCCTTTTTCCAGCTTTCCTATCCCTTCCTGCCTTCTCCTCTTTGTCCCTTGGCTGGTGTGGCCATTTAGTCTCATTTTGTTTTATGGGCCTGTCTAATCTTTGGCTGAAGGGTGAACCTCAGGAGTGACTTCAGTACTGAGTTAAAAGGGTGTCTGAGGGCCATAGTCTCGGGGTTTCTCCAGTCTCTGTCAGACTGGTAATTCTGGTCTTTTTTCTTTTTTTTAGGTGAGTTATAATTTTGTTCTACACTTTTTTTCAGCCCTATCTGGGACCCTCTATTGTGATCTCTGTCAGAACGGTTGGTGGTGGTAACCTCCCTCTCAGAGCAGTTGGTGGTGGTAGCTGAGAGCCATCTATTTGTACTGGACTCAGTCTGATGGAGGCTGTGGTACTTATGGTCCATTAGTCCTTTGGACTAATCTTTCCCCTGTGTCTTTGGTTTTCTTCATTCTCCCTTGCTTCAGACGGGGTGAGACCAGTGGAGTCTTAGATAGCTGCTGTCTTCGTCATCTAGTGCTGCTATGACAGAAATACCACAAGTGGATGGCTTTAACAAAGAGAAGTTTATTCTGTCACAGTCCAGTAGGCAAAGAAGTCCGAATTCAGGGTGCTAGTTCCAGGGGAAGGCTTTCTGTCTCTGTCAGCTGCAGAGGAAGGTCCTTGTCATCAGTCCTCCCTTGGTCTAGGAGCATCTCAGCACAGGAACCTCAAGTCCAAAGGATGTGCTCTATTCCTGGCACTGCTTTCTTGGTGGTATGAGGTCTCCCTGTCTCTCTGCTGACTTCTTGCTTTTATATCTCAAAAGAGATTGGCTTAAGACACTATCTAATCTTGTAGATCTCATCAATATAACTGCCACTAATTCATCTCATTACATCATAGTGATAAGATATACAACACATAGGGAAATGACATCAGATGACAAAATGGTAGACAGTCATACAATACTGGGAATCATGACCTAGCCAAGTTGACCGATATTTTTGGGGGACACAGTTCAATCCATGACAGCTGCTCACAAGCCCTGTATGCTACTCACCAAAGTAGGATGTAGAACATTTTCTTTATAAACTATGTTATGCCAGTTGAACTAGATGTTCCCTGAGACCATGGTCCCCACAGCCCTCAGTCCAGTAATTTAGTCCCTCAGGGAGTTTGGATGTGTCTATGGAGCTTTCATGACCTTGCCTTGGTCAAGTTGTGCTGGCTTCTCCAGTATTGTGTACTGTCTTACCCTTCGCCAAAGTTATCTTTATTGTTTTTTTCCTTCTGCTTGTTTTGTTCTTCTTTTATGAGGTGCTTGGGATAGAAGCTTAAATTATTCACCTGAGAGTTTTCATCTAGCTTCCTACATGGTCACAGTGACACCATGGTGGGGATGACTTTCTTACTGCTGAGTGATAGTGAAAGTCCTGAGTCTCTACTACGCCTCCTCTGACATAACCCCACCAAGGGTGTTGGGACAACTTATTCAGCCTGGTGAATGTGGAAGTCTGAGCTCCCCACTTGCTTTTGCTGGCATTGATGGGGATGTAGCTACAATGTTTATCCTGATGTACGACTAGAGTAGAATAGTTATTGTCTTTTTGCCACTTTCCTGGTCCTTTGCCTAGAGATTGTTGGTCCTTTTTTTATTTTTATTTTTACTACTCCTGTTGACGTTTCTAGGCTGCCAGCTTCTTCACCTCCAAGTCCTGTATACGTGAGGCAAAAAGAAAACTATGGAAACTAACCACTGTGTCATTCCTCAGGTCCCGAGGTACCTAATAGTTTGCTTTCTACTCTCTACTTTTCAGTCTTCTTATATTTGTTATTTATATAATGTCCAAGATTTTTAATTTTTAATTGAAGTGGAAGTCCTACATATCTATTTGAAACTCTAATTATTTACAGTGTTTTACTTTTTTTTTTTTTAATGTAGGAGAAATATACTACCACTAGGTTGTCAGTCCTGAGAACTCCTTTTTTAATGTAGCATGTTATAGATGTATTCCTGTTCCTAAAGGAATGAGGAGCAGACCTTCCACGTGCCATAGTTTTTACTCTTTTTTTGTGGAAATTTTAAAGCATATATATAGATATAGATAATATAGCATAATGAACTCTGTGTATCTATCACCCACCTTCATAAGTGATCAATATGCTCTCTTTTTTTGTTTCATTTTTCTCCCAAAGACACTTTTTTTGGGAGGCTAAGAAAATCTAAATTAATTTTTTTCAACTGTGATTTAAGTTTTATGTAATACTGTTTGTTTCTTCATTAAATTGTAACAATATTGCTTTCAACAGTTAAAAGATTTTTTTCCTTCCCTGAAATACTTGTATACATTATTTATTGAAATCAATTACACACACACTATGCAAACACATACACAATATTCTGAGCTACTTTTGTGCTGCCATGTATGTTTGTTGGACATGACATGATGAAACTTTTGGTACCTTCAAATAAATGCAATTAGTTAAATGTTAAATCTAATTTTTAAAAGGCAGAAATGAACATTTTATCATTGTTAAAGCACTCAAAACATTGGTTTGGGGATTACTCTAATGCAGAATTTTGAACCTAAATACATGAATTATCCCCTATCTTTCTGCGTTAGGACTTTAAAAATAAATGCAAAATTAAAAATTTGCCTAACTCGTAAAATTTGGAGGCAGCTATGATCTGTATTAAGTAATAATTTTGGTAAGTTGCTAATTTATTGTAAGGTACATAATTTAGTTTTTAGAATATGAAATGGAAAAGCTGATTCAACAAAAGCCCAACACTCTGAAGAGTAATAATCATAAAACATGGCTCTCTTCTGCCACTGATCTCACAGAGGATGCCTGGTGTAGACTTAAAATCCTGTACCGTTTTCTTTTGTCCAGAAAAGAAAACACTAACTAGTTTAGTCCAAAAAAAAAAAAAAAAAAAAAA